TATTTAGCTCTGTGTAGTTTGTTTTAACTCTCTGTAAACTGTCAAGAATAGTGCTTCAGCACTAATGAGGTGGTATATCAATAAATCAATCAGTCAACCAATCAAACAAACAACTTTGGTGTGGGTGGGAGCACCCTGTTTTCCTCCCTTTCCAGCACATGTGATTGCTGGGAATGAACCAAAATGAACTGTCTCTTTTAATTTGCAAAAAAAAGGGGGGGGGAAGTGCATATTAGAGCAGCAAATATGCACTGCATCATTTTAAAAACAGTATTAGGTATGTATAATACAAGTTAGGTATGTGTATTAGGCAGGGCATACTTGGTGCTCCAATGCACACTTAATTTCTTTTCACTTCCTCGGCCCTTCCGAGGAAGTGTTTTTAATCTGCCAATAATGTGAACAGTCTCTCTTTGGAATCCACTTCATGACAATGACAAATTGATAACAGGCTACTGCAGACCACATAGGGTTGATTGAGATCTGTATGCCGTTTGGATGCAAGGATCGAACCCACCACTTGAGGAATCTATTTATTTCTTGAAATCGTGATCTCCTTGGTTTCTGCTTATTTTGTTCTCAGTGGCAGAATAAAATGGAACATACATGTTGTCATGAAATAAATGAACAATGGCTCTTTCTCTACCTTCTGAGATCCTTTATCCATTCTGATTAGGAGGCTTAGTGTCCTTTATTCCTCCTGCCTCTATTATTCCGTTTCACTTCTAGATTCTTTGCCATCTTCTCCTTTCCATATTCTTCCTTTAGGCAAAATGCTTTTTGAGCATCGGTGTCCAAAATGCCAGATGAGCTATAATGAACTATGAGAACTTATCCTGCTTAGAAATTATGCACAATGTTCCTTGAGTAGCTACTGTGATTATATGTAAATATAGAGAAAACAAGGGAATGCAGGACTAGGCACAGAATCCAGTAGTTTTGTAACACGGTGTGTGATGTCTTTTTAGTGCCTAGACTACACAGCCCTGCTGGATTTCATTTACGGTGAATAGTATTTTAAGATCAATTAAGATAGTATTTAAATCATGCAGACTTTTGTACAAAGATGCTGCATAAAGGTAGTACTGTAACTGAGTTATCAAAAGATACAGTACTTTTCTTTATCATTCCTACTATATGAGGATGAGCTTTGATCTCTAAGGTCAGGGCTGAAAATAAGCATGTGAAACAGACATCCTGAGCAAAACTGGGATTTGTCAAGACCAAATCTATGTAGCAGTAACATGTCAGAATAGGGGCAGGGAGATGGAGAACTGGATCAGAATAAGTAGAGCATGTAACATTGGCTGAAATCCAGTAGTAAATCACAGCTAGAGTAGGCCCACTGAGTCCCTAGAATTTACATAGGTGTTGACTCATCATATATCCCCACTGATTCAATATACCTACTCTAGTCGTGACTTACTACTGTATTTCAGCCAATGTGTTTCAGGACACGTAACATTGGAGGTGTATTATGAAGTGTTTGGCCAGTGTCTGTGTTTATAGACGTTGCCTCAAATGGCCAGAGAGACAAATGAAAGAGGCCCTGTATTTGGCAGATCTTCTTTTCTTCTTTGGTGGTCCAATTATCACATCCTTATGCAACACTGATAAGACGTTATGATTATTCTGTGAGCAGAGTGCAGCAAGCCAGTAAAGATGAAGCTATACTTATGAACTAGGACTTCACATTCTCATAGTAACATAAACCGGGGTGAAAAATTTTTACTTTCCTTGTTCCAATAAATCAATTTAGGATAAAACAGGTTAAAACCTAGAAGGGCCCAGATCTAGAAGACACTAAACCTAGTAGACTCCATGTGTGCAAGTGTGCTGACCGCTGACGTGGAGGCACCTCCATGGCTGGTCCTCCACTACAAAAGGAGAACAAAAGAACTAAATTACAAGGAAGTTTGAAAAAGGAAGAAATGATCTCAGCCTTAGATTCTAAGAGAAAATGATCAAAGAACAACAACACGCAAGAAGTACTTTATGGAAAACTAAGAGAGGCCAAGGTGCCTACTGCCTTCTGTTCTTCCACTATCCTAGTTACTTTAAATAGTATATTTTCTCTTCAGATAGGCTTTCCCTTAGAGATTGACTGTCTGGAAAGGTTTTTTTTTAAATAGTTGTGCTTTGTTTCTTTGAATTTGTTTTTTAATGTTGATCTTGTTTACCATTTTCAGTATGGTATTTGTTTGATTCTTCTTAAATATTGGTATATTTTACTGTTTCTAGTTTTTAAATATTGTCTTTTAATGATGTAAGTCACCTTGGGTCCTTTTTAAGGAGAAATATCAGTCATCAACGTCAATGCTGACTCATAGTGACCCTTTCCAGGGTCTTCTGTGTAACAGAATACTGTACATAGGTTTCCCGTTTCCTTCCTTTTGGGCTATCCTGTGACTGTGCAGCTTGTCCAAGACCATACAGGCTGTTGCTACTCACACGAGACACAGTGGGGAATTGAACTCCCAACTCCCACAGTCAAATACATAAAAACCTTTAAGCCATCTGCTAAAAATATTTCCAACCAACTGACCAACCAAAATATTGCTGTATTTACCCTAAAACATTTGCCCTGTGACTTTGCTTGAATTTCCTGTCATTCCTTTTCTCTTGTCCCTATTTTGACAAACCTCAGAATATATGGAACCAATTAAAGCAGACTGAGGGGGCTTCCATGTGGGACAAAAGTTGTTGTAAAAGTACTGGATTTTGCACTGTTTGGGCTTTTTGGATGTTTTGGTTGTTTTTGTTGTGTTTTGTTTTTGTGCTTTGTTTTTTTCCCCTTTTTTAATGCCATTCCAACAAGGCAAGGAATTCAGCACCTTCTTCCCTGCCTTGGTGGTGTTTGTTCTTTTTTGTTTTTGTTTTTGGTCAATGGGAAGTTAATTTCCTCATCTGAGGCTCCTGATCTGAAATGTCAATTAGCCCAGAAATATGACGAGGAAAAACAAAAGCCCCAGAAGCAAAGCTTCAGCAGGGAATTTACTGTAAGTTCTAAAATTTTTATAGAGGAATTTCAAAGATTTCCTAAAGGAGAAGCAAATGAATAATTGTTGTGCTGTTTGGACACACATCCTGGTAAGCCCCTCTCTCCTTCACACCCCAGCCACGCCCAGAGGAGGCAGAAGTTGAGCTCCTTCTGGATCGATCCTAAAATAACATGGGTGTTTCACAAAGTCAGCCAATCTGTGCAAGTATTACGTTCAAATGTTACTCTGAGCCCTGTGGATGTGTTTCTGCCTTGGGAGAAAGTTGGTTTCCTTCCCATGCCCCTTTTCTAATTGCACCCAATCTGGCTAAACTCAGATTATGTTATATGAACATTTTGTTTGGGATCATTATATAGTCAAGTATTTACCAAGTGTTACTCAAGTAAGAGGGTGGGTGAATTGCTGATAGGGGCAGATATGACCTTCAAAGATTTGTCCTTGCTTATTTGAGTGTCAGTGCAGGCAGACACGTGAAGCGCAAGCTTTGTCGCAGTCCTGGATATGTCCAGAGGAGTCCAGAGATGGGGGTGGAAGCTACCACCTTTTGCTTTTTGGTGGCTCCATCGATTTCAATTTTCTTTGTCTGCACACAAAACATACATGTGCAGGCAGGATTCACCACAGGGCCTGGAGAGGTTTGGCAGCCACCTTCTGCTTCCTCCTCTGGCCTCTCCTTGTAGTAATTTCTGGTAGGGGGAATATAGCTGCTATCATTAGCAGACAAGAAGTCCGCCGACATGACTTTCCAGTGCTCACAGCTAGGGCTGCCCCCAAACATTTTACTCCCTGAGTTCGGGCAGCAAATGATGCCCCATGTCTACGCAGATGCGCAAAGCACTCAAAATACGGCAAATTATTTTGGTACATGAAGCAGGGAATCCAAAATTCCCCCCCTACACACACACACACACACACAGCAAATTATTTTGGTATATGAAGCAGGGAATCCAAAATCCCCCCCCCACACACACACACACCAATAAAAATACAATGAGAATAAATTGATTAGTTAACAATTTAGTGCCCCTCCATTACAATCAAAATCTGCTCCTTGAGATAGCTGCCCCTCTCTGCTTAATGGTATGATTGACCCTCCTGGCACATATATCTTCTTCATTCCTCTTCTTTATTTCGCAAGTGTGGTTGTGCCACCCCATGTCCCAGGCTGACCTGTTGCTGGCAATACGTCTCCTGCCGTAGGCCAAAGAGTATCTGGTTCATCGGCAGCCCCTGATAATGTTGCTAATCCCCAGGAGCCAACCAGTGTGGGTTCTCCACCTGCACACGGTTCAGCTCACATAATCCAAGCCGTCGGGGAAGATGGGGAATAGATGACTCTTCAAAGTTGTTGGACTGCAGTTCTCATGACCTTGGCGGTTGAGACTGATGGGGGATGCACTCCAGTTAACCTCTGAAGAATGGCAGGTTTTTCACCCTTGCTATAACGCATCACAAGCAAGGACAATGAGCATGGGGGAAAAAAACCCAGACATTTACCATGCCATCTCTAAGGAAGCCTTCAGTAAACACGCCTCCATTTCACTGAGTTAGTGACCTCTGTAAGTCTTCTTTGCTGTCACCATGTTCTTGTGCCATGTTGACGGAATGAGCAGATTGTCAACAGACGTACCACACCCCACTCCTACAGCCTTTTGCTACAAAGCAACCCCTGTTTCAGACGTTCCACCCTATGGGATGCTGCCAAGAGACATGAATGGGCGTGTGACAGGGAGGGACAGCAGGAATCTCTTCTTCTTGGACACCTAGCATGGATCACGAGAGAGCCAGTGGAAGGGTGAGGGGAAGCAGGAAACAGGGTGAGGAGAAATACCATTAGAGCCATAATCTAGCAGAAAAGGGAAGGGCACAGGGATGTCCTGCGTTTATTTAGTGGGCAGGAAAAGTATTATCCACATATTCAAAGATGTAGGACACGTGTTCCGGGTCTGAACGTTTCTCCACGGATCTCCCACCATGCCTCCACATTTCTTTCTGCAGGTGGTGATTCTGCTGCTCAGCTGACACGACTGACTCCAGGTGTGACTCCAGGTGCGGCTCCAGGTGCAACCCCTGATGCTCACATCTGGGATGTTTCCAGCGTGTCTCTGCTGGATCGACAGCTGGTGGTCCTGAGCAGAGAGGAAGAGGTGGGGCTAATGTCTGGCATTCAGAACTATGGGAGGGAAGGTGAATATGGAGGTGGGGGGGCGGAATCCCTCTGGGGATTCAAATCCAGCCAGGTCACAGAATATGCCAAGGACATGCCATCTTCTTTTCAGGCTTAATGCCTGGTGAGGTCAGCTCTTTTTAAAGAAAATACTGGCTGTGGGTGCCTGACTCTGATGGGAGTAGTTACAGCCAACATTTATTTATTTATTTATTTATTTATTTATTTATTTATTTATTTATTTATTTATTTATTTATTTATTTATTTATTTATTTATTTATTTTATTTTATTTTATTTTATTAAACTTCGTTTAATGCGTTCCTATGGGGCCCAAAACTCACCATTCAGCGAAGTTCCTCCATAGCGCCGCCATTTTCGCGCCCTCGGTAAGCGAGGGCAGGGCGTGAAAATTGTTGCGGCAGCCATTTTGGGTGTCCAGTGGCCATTTTGGAACCGCCGATCAGCTGTTCAAAAAAACATCGCAATGCGAAGATCGGTAAGCAATGCGCTGTTTTGCCATTGAAAACATCGCAATGCGATCGCATTAGCGATCTGAAAAAACAGATCGCTATGCGGATTCGTCGTTAAACGGTGTGCTCATTAAGCGAGGCACCACTGTATATATTTATTTATTTAGATTTATACCCCACCCATCTAGACAGATAGACTACTCTGGGCAGCATTACAAAATTTAAAAACAATAAAACCAATGAACATGCAAAAATCCAAGATGTAAAAGTGTAGATATTAAAATACAGCAGGAGGGAAAGCCTGTCTAAATGGCCATGTCTCGAGTTTACTTCTAAAGACACTCAGAGAGGGAGTCAGGCGGATCTCTACGGGCAATTTGTTCCAGAGTTGAGCGGAGTATTAGTATTAATTTGTCAGATGCTGCTAAAGATTCCTTCTCAGAGTTTCCAGAATGGGTGGCAAGAACTCTGCTGGCCTTTCCTCCCCCCTCCTTTCTTTGGTATGAGTGCTGTTCCAGACTATAAGACAAAACAATACCATGCAAAACCCACAATCAAATCAGTAAAGAATAAACATTGTGGCACCTGAAAGACTAACAGCTGAATTCTAATATGAGATTTCATAGAACAAGTTCATTCCCTTGGACTCAATCCACAAAGGTAAAGGTAAAGGTTCCCCTTGACCATTTTTGTCCAGTCGTGTTCGACTCTAGGAGGCAGTGCTCATCCCCGTTTCCAAGCCATAGAGCCAGCGTTTTGTCCGAAGACAATCTTCCGTGGTCACATGGCCAGTGCGACTTAGACACGGAACGCTGTTACCTTCCCACCGAGGTGGTCCCTATTGATCTACTCGCATTTGCAGGCTTTCGAACCGCTAGGTTGGTGGGAGCTGGGACAAGTGATGGGCACTCACTCCATCGCGTGGATTCGATCTTACGACTGCTGGTCTTCTGACCCTGCAGCACAGGCTTCTGCGGTTTAGCCCACAGCGACACCACATCTCTCAAGCCACAAAAGCTCACATTAAAATATAGCGGCTAGGCTTTCAGGGGCACAACGTTTGTCTCTTGCTGTTGGCGTCGCTGCTGCTGCCTGATCTGCTGGCAAGAGCTGCTCTGGACCGTGTCACAGGCTGAAGTACGGCAGAATGGGCAGAATGGGGAAGAGAGTAAGTTAAACCACAGTAGTCATAAACAAACCCCTCCATGAAACTTTGTATGTTGTTTCAGGGTCTGCTCCAACATCGGAAACGGACTGGGAGCTGCGTTTCAGAGATGAGTTTACTCTATCCATCAGGTAGCCTGAGGGACGGTGGTGAGTCCTGAAAGTGCTCTTCATCTACTACCTATATTTATAGCCTGTTTTCCTTCCCGGGAGCTCAAGGTAGCATATATGGCTGCCCTCCTCTCTGCTTTATTCTCACAAGAGCTCTGTGCTGGTAGTTCAGGTGCATTGTTTTGACGTTACAGAATTGCCTTCTGCACTTCAAATATCTCTCTAATGCAGAGCTACTGGATTAGGACACCTTCCTCTGTTTGCTGTAGCAACACTGCATATACACTCACCTATAAACAAAGCGGCTGGAATTCCATTGGTTATTTGTGCAGTGGTAGAAATCACAAATGCGAATGGCTGCTGGCTAACATGTTGCCACTTGTATTCTTTGTGGTGTGCCAATGAACGTGGCTTGTGCACATTGTGGAATACAAGCAGTGATTCATTAACCAGTGGCAATTGGGTCTTGTGACTTGCACCATTGCA